AGGTCATTATTTTTCTTGACTTTCAAGTTCCTGCTGCACTTGTTTGGCATCAGCAGGATTCCTTGTCAAAGAATAAAATTAGAACAAAGAGAATTTGATCATTGGTGCAACACCAGGCCAACACCGTGGCAAACACCATGGCAAGTGTCGGTCCCACGCCGTTCAAACGCCATGAACCCACGGCCGTGGGACTTGCCTGCAGTGTTAGACCTATTAGTTGTTGGAATATGAAGCCGCATTGCATTAGTAATAATGCTCGGGCTATTTGTTCTAGCACATTCCACCTCCCCGAAGCTGACTTATAGCTTATTCTACATTTAGTAATACTTGGAATATTCTAGTAGTTATCGTAGGTATAAAGCCTTGTAATTAGTCGGTAGCACTTCACTGGTTTGCAAAGGAATAAATCCTCTTGCAACACTCTTACCTTCTGAGCTTGTTTCAACACAAACCAGTACTAGCCTTTCTGGTGGGCCAGCCTTCAATACACCAGCTTGCTGTTACCCTAGGCCAACACCTGGACAATATTCGTGTTTACCCTCTTACCGACCTCCTATTTTAATCCCCCTCAACAATCACCTCCATCATGACCGACGACAGCTTGCCTAACCGCTTTCCCAGACTCAACGACACCAATTACCCAGAATGGGCTCTCCGCATGGAAGCCGAATTGATCCGGAAGGATCTCTGGAAGGTGGTCGAAGTTTCTGTGGATACCGAGGGAAAAGAAGCTGTGGATATTGCCAAGGAATTGGAGACCAAAGTGAGCAAGAGGAATGCTCAGAAGATGGCAGAGGCTCGGGCAGAGATGATTTTGCGGGTTGACGATGGTCAACTTTCCCATATGCGGTCGCGAGACCCAATGGAGATTTGGAATGATTTACGGGATGTTCATCGCGCACGTGGCTTCGCAACAAGCTTGGTGTTGCGTAGGAGATTTTTAACGGTGAAGAAGAAGGACAATCAGTCTATGCAGTCGTGGATTGGGGAAATACGGAGCCAGGCATTCACCATCGAGGAGGCAACAGGCACCGTGGTCAGCGATCAAGACAAGATTTTGGCACTTACCATGGGCTTGCCGGCAACCTTTGATCCGGTGATCATCAATTTCGACTCGGCCTCTCCCGACACCTTGACTTTCAACGTCGTTGTCGCACGATTGTTGAACGAGGAAACCCGTCAACACTCTGGTATCACCGGCACCAATCCCGAGGTCAAAGGCGAACGCGAGGCTTCATTCACTGCCACCGCGGGACGCGGATCTCGATCCGATGTCATCTGTCACTTTTGCGACAAGAAGGGACCAAATCGGAATGCCGAGACAGGATGAAGTGGGAAGAATCTAAGGAGAAGAAGGATGAATCCAAAGCGGCATTTGCTGACTTTGATGCAGCGTGGTGATATGAAGATTCCGGGGGTGCCATCCCCATTTTGATTTTCCTGTTGATTTGATTTTCTTACTTATTCTCTGCGGCTTCCGGGGGTGTGTTGGAATATGAAGCCGCATTGCATTAGTAATAATGCTCGGGCTATTTGTTCTAGCACATTCCACCTCCCCGAAGCTGACTTATAGCTTATTCTACATTTAGTAATACTTGGAATATTCTAGTAGTTATCGTAGGTATAAAAGCCTTGTAATTAGTCGGTAGCACTTCACTGGTTTGCAAAGGAATAAATCCTCTTGCAACACTCTTACCTTCTGAGCTTGTTTCAACATTAGTTTGATGGCCAAGTTGAACAAGGTATTTCAACTACTTCTGCCACCAGGTTCAATATGAGTTTTCAATATGTGAGCTTATGGGTACGAGCACTGAGTTGAAGTGTCTCTCTTGGGTGTCATTGTGAGTGTGCACCAGAGCTTTCTATGGCATGAGTCTAAAGTGATTTCACAAGCCAGAAGAGCCATTAAAAAAAAAAGAAGCAAATGCATCAGGAATTGACCTTAGAATAGCCTAAAAGAAACAAATAAGAAATAACAAGACATGCCTTCGCTTCGCTCCAGCATAAGTGCAGATCCACATTGGAAGGCAGCCCACCTCCCTTGAAAATTTAGTCAATTTTTGTGAAGTTTCTGGTGCTCAACGTCGTAGTGAAATAATATTCATCAGGCTCACTGCATGCACTGTTAATATGCTTCCCTTTCCTCCGCCCACTGTAATCGAAACTACAGCATATAACAGCACATAATTCGCTGGGGAATACAAGCCAAGGGAACAACTGATGAACCTTTGGTTTGAACAGGTCAGCAACTCATGTATATAAACCCTATTGACCCACTTACCTCTGTCCACGTTGATCTGGTAGAAGTGTATCCAGGATGAGGAACCAAATTGAGTGGTGGTTATACACTGGCAGGACTGTCAGCCTTCTGTGTGCAGTGAAGAGACCATAAATGTAGCTAAAGTGCACCCGGCATATGGATGTGTCGGTCTGAAATGCCCACACAAAAGACACAGAGACAATTCCGGTTAGGGCGATGAGAGAGAATCAGCTGCAGTTTTGCATAAGCAGTGCACCCCATTGGGCTTGTCTGGTGTATTTCTGAGTAGAAAGTGTTGAAAAAAGAACCTTACTGAATTTCAGGGGAGTGAGCAACCTGATCCCCAGTGAGTCATTAGCATACCTGTACTCATCAAATATGTGGGGTATCTAAAGTGTCAGGGCATCAAAGTAATAAATTGGCAGCAGCATGGGCGCGCATATGAACAAAATTGGATCGAAATATCTCAATAACGAACTGGATGCACAACGTGAGAAGGCCGACCAGAAGTGCAACCTTGACGCATTGATTTGCTTACAGCCATTGACAGTACTGAAGGCGCGGATGAAAAATTTCCTGTTTAGGATATTTATCAAAGAATTCCCCAGATCTCAGTCAGTTTTGCACAGATTCAGATGAAACCTAGCCAGATCTTCCAGGCTAATTCATACGCAATTAGTGACAGAAGGAAATTTGCAAAAATACTTTATATTGATTGGCCTGTGATTTCGGACTGTTTCCGTGATAAATGATGTCTAGCATAGTCCAAACATGTTCAAATGAGCTGATTATTTGCAACAGTGAGCTAAGGTAGCGGACATACAAACACGGTTGCCCCACGTGATTTAGCCTTATTGAGAAGATTTCCACAAATCCACCATTTTTTTATCCGAAATAGAAATTCTGGCCCAACAGTATTGTTCGCATTGCTCAGGCCTACTCACTCGTGGTTAAAGCTTGTGTAAAAGTGGGGAACTGAAGGACTAGTTCTAAAATGATCAGAAATTGATGGTATTGTTGGCCCACATCAATTTGGGAACTTATCCTTCATTTCTCAACCGAAATTCCCCAAAATATTTGGGAACGGTCTTCAGGTACATTCACACAAAACTGTTGAGCTAGATCTTCCACTCTCATCGTGCAAGCCCACAATTGCTCCTTTTGGGCAGTCACGTGGGGCAACCATGTTTGTATGTCCACTACCTTAACATACATTTAGAAAGATGTCATAGAGCCAGAACTGCAGAAATTTTAGTCTATGATGTCTGTAATCCCATCTGGACAATGGACAATCCACTCTGATCTCGAAATATTGTGAGAATTGAATGTAACCATGAAACTTATGAAATTATGGCTGTATTACATCATTCATAATCCACATAAGTCTTTTTTCTCACAAAACCAGACCATTTGAACAAAGTTCCAGGCTTGCTAGAGGGTATCCAACACCCAAACAGCCTGAAATCCAATATTATCCACTATGAAATATTTTGACAGGTTTCTCTCTATCAATAATTCCACATGAATTAGCCTGAATTATCTAGCATGATTTCATCCAAATCCATGAAGAACTGACCGGGATCTAAGGAATTCTTTGAAAACATCCCAAACAGGAAATTTTTCATCTGCACCTTCGGTACTGTCAATGGCTGTAAGCAAACGTGCCAAAGGCAGTCAATTAAATTGGGTTCAGATGATGCATCGTCCTCACGTGTCCGTACAGCGGGAGTTGAACTGGACGTTGAGCGCGATGCACACCTAGTAGAGCCTGGTCAGTGCTGTTGCAAAAATACAGCTCCAGGAAGGAGCCAATCATCGAATTACTGCTCACCGTGGTGACAGAACATCGGGATATTACGTTGAGAGTGTGCAGACAGGAAACCAAAACTAAAAGGTGAGGGAAGCACAAAGGAAGCTGGAGACATCATATAATGCATACTGCGATGAGCAATCATACCTGATGGGAAAATATGTGTGGACTTACTGATAGCTTATAACTTAAAGGTCAGAATGTAAGCCTGGAGTATCTAAATCGAGCACACTTACAGGCAGCGCCAGAACTCGAAAAGTGGAAGCGACCTGTGAATATCATCAACACATTGGTCAAAAAGCAGGGTACAAACTGAAATTCATGAAATTAATCACCCTTACCATTGTTTTCCACATTGCGCATAAACTGCTGAGCACTCAAGGCTGCCTTGGGTGTACACAGCTGATGAGGTTAGTTGATCACAGATGCAGCTGGAGACTCAAATATGATGAAGAGCACAATTCAGTGCAGGGCATTTGGGGGAAATGATGGGGGTGGCAAAGCAAGAAGGCAGCGAAAGCAGCGTCCCTTTTGAACAGAAGTTGAGCGGTTGATCGGCTAGGTCAAAAATAGCATGGTGGAGCGTCCAGCTCCCTGGACTGAAGCTAATTTGTGACACACAGGTTACCTGACAGACCCCAAAAATAAAATAGAAAATGGGATGGACATACAGGAGCCGTGGGCCAGCGAGTGGGAAAAATGGAAAATGGAAACAGTCAGAATCTGATTCGAGAGGTATAAATCCAGTAAGATCGGAACCAAAGTTCTGGAACAGGGATTTGGGCTGAGAAAAAAAGTTCAAATTGAGGTGATTGTAACAGGTGCATACAAAATCAGGGCATCTGCTTAAGATACGAGTAATGTGATTGGTAGTGAATTTGACAAGTTGAATTATATCTTAGCAACTCCAATGGAAGCAAGGAAAAAGAATGCATTGAGAGGGAATCAAACCCGCTGACACAATTCTATGGGAACGACCCAGGTTTACCACTACCCCATTAATGCTGTGGCAGTTATCCAACTTTGAAGCCTATGGTGCCTGGATAACCTGCTTGAGAAGCACTCAGAGGCAATGAGGTCGAAGCCTCTACCTGAACACTGTGAAGGTCGCTTGACTTTTACGGTGCTTGGATGGCCTGCTTGAGAAGCACTCTTACTCTGACCTACCCTTTCTTGCATAAAGCTGCTTTGTTGCCTGCTCTAACCACCTTATTTGCATATGGCACCCACCTGCACTGCCAGTGTTGAAGGCCACACAAGACACGAGCCAGAGCACAGCTGAAACTTGATCAATTCCTAGACTTGGTTACCAGTCTACATTCACACATGAAAAGCCTGTAGGATCATGGATGTCCTCAATGAGGCCAATACCGGCTGAGCCTTTCTGAAAGCCCCCACATCCTCTTTGACTTGCAGCAGACCCTCCATGCCTACACTGCCGTCTGCAACTACCCCACCTCCACGCACCTCGTATCATGCCATTTGTGCTCTGCATGCCCACACAACTCCTCCCAGTGCACTTGGCAACCTTGCTCACTGTCATCAATGTACACCAACCATCTCGCACTCAGACCCATCTTGGGCAGCTACACATGCTTTCATTTCACTGGTGTGTTTACTATGCCCTCCTTACACTGACATTACACTCACACCTATCTACCTACTACAGGCTGCACCCTTCATCCCACTCAGCATTGTGGACACCGAGTCATTGTCTAATCTCTGCTCCAACATCGCATACAAGGCACATCATACCCTCATGCACCATCAAACTGCTCTGTATGCAGAGACATGCAGGGCCAGCTGCTTTTCAAGCCGTCATGCAGTGGACTTGCGCACAGCATATCCTAGACTGGGACAAGGGAGTTCTGAAAAAAAAAATCACACACTATGCCATTTTTTTTGGAAAAATACCTTCTCAGTGGACCTACCTCCCACGTGACATCCAAATCAGGTAATAGTCCATGTGTGTGCCCCCCCAGAAGATACCACAGGTTCAATGAGCAGTCCATGGAACCTCCCAAATTACTGCAGAGGGTATTTATGGAATTTGTAGTCTAAGTTGGACTTAAACATGCTGAATATTGCTTTTCATAAGGTCCAAGTATCGGGGCCTCAAGTTTGCACCCAAAACTTGCCTCCTCCTCATTGTGAAAGGGGAGAATCAAATGGAGGGTGCTCACCATATGTTCAGTAAAGTACTCAAAAAATCCGATATATTTGGCTCTTTAAGCAATTTTTGGACATTCTCTGAGCTTAACTTCAGCCAACTCACATCAATTACCTCATTGCAGAGCAAAAACGGGCCGAATATTGTCTCATACACTTGATTTAACTGCAGTTTCGACTGTGTAGACCCATCAACACAGATGTGAAGGGTCTGCAGCAACTTTGAGTCCATTCTGGGCCAATTCATAACAGGTCATTTTTTTTTCCGGCCTGGCAGCTGGACCTGCCTACCAGCACCGGGTGCCGGCTTGACCGGCCTGAATGCCCTTGGACTGGGACACAGATGCGGACTTGCCACGAACAAGGATAACAACACACAGCTGCAGACACTCGACCAGTGTGTGGAGGCAATGAGGGCGCAATTTGGAGTGGGACTCCAAGTGTGAAACCTCTGCTTTGTCCTTGAAGTGCATAAAGGGTGATTCATTCGTGGTGTGGCTACCGGCACTTGCGGTTCCAAAATCGTGCGCTTATATAAGCACGATCGGCCGATTTGATGGCAAATTGCCTCTTGAGATCATTCTCAGCCTTTTTATGCTCTGTAGCTCCCAGGTACTGTCCAAGACTTCTAGTTTCATCTTAAAATAAACTTCTGGTTTGGTTTTGCAGTACAAAAATATTTTCACCATGTGCGTGCAGGAGAAAAGTTTATTTAAGAGTGAGAATCGACTTTGGATATCGATTTAAATATATTACGTAATTAAATACCACGTGACCGAGAGGGAGAGGTCGCGACGCTGAGGGGAGGGAGGGAGGGAGAGAGAAAGGAGGAAGACAGGGAGAGGGACTGGAGCAAGAAACGAGGTAATGAGAGTGGGCGCGAGAAAATAGGACGTCGAATAGGGTGAGAAAAGCGGACGACAAGTGCGACTAGGAAGATGAGAAGGGCGGAGAAGAACGAGAATCGGACGAGGCATGAGGGAGGAGGGAGGAAGGAGGAAGAAGTAGAAAGATAAATAGGATGAGACAAAAAGAAACAAGAGTGACAGGTAAAGTAGGAGAGCAATTTGAAGGCCGAAGGAGACGACAAATGCCGCAAGGACGAGGGGATGAAGAAACGGACGGAGAGGGCCGAGGGATAGGACGAGGAGGAGGATGGAGTTCCCACTCCCCGAGACACGTGCGGTGCGGAGCAGATATCGGGAAGGGGGCACAACTCAGAAAAAGGAGCACGCACTTCAGGTACTCCTCATCGCGCGGCACATCTTTGGCGGTTCCGGCCATTGAGCATAAGCGCGGCGTGGCCGTGCGGCACGCTCTCCGTCTTGCCCTTGCATTTGCGCGTCGCCGTCGGCTGCTGGGGAAGAGGATAGAAGGTCAATACCGGTACGGGCGAGGGATGGTGTATGAGAAAGGAAGGCGCGAATGGGACACAGGTACACAGCACGAAGGAGGGTGGGAGAGGATAGGTGGAGCGAGGGGGGAACGACATCCGTCGACGACAGGACACACGGTGGGCTGTGAGGCACTGAAGTCGGACGCGAAAAGTGCCCGTCGCGAAAGAAGCGCCCGGCGTCAAAAAAGGCGCCCGCAGACGACCACGCCAGCTCATCTCGCGCAACAGCGACGCCATCCCCATCCGCGCGTCGTCGCAGCACCCCATCATCACAGACGGCGAGGTCCATCCGCCTGCGCTCGCCTCCACCCGTAAGCAATCATCGAAGTGCTCACTCGTCACGATCGAGGAGTTCGCGGTAGCGTGGAGCTCATCAGACCAGCGAGGCGGAGCGGATGAACGAGGGAGCAGTGGGATGGAGGTGGCGAGGGATGGGACGAGGTACGGGGTACGACGGAGAGGGAGAGGGGCGGAGACATCGGCAGCGACGAGGGAGCGCCGAGGAAGGATATGAGTGGGAGGGAGGGTGAGGGAAAAGTGGTGCGAGGAGTAAAACGGACACGTACCGCACCCCTCGCCACCTGCCATACGCACAGCGCCGACGACAGGTTTCGTCGGTGTCCTGTAGCGGAGCCACGGGCTCTTGGTCTTGCGTGCGGAGGTCGGCTGCTGTAGGAAGACGTTAGTATAGGTGAAAGGGCGATACGAGCAAGAGGGTGAAGAATGAAAGAGAGAGAAGTGCATAAGCTCCTACGCGTCGAGGAAGGGAAAGAAGCCGTGAGAGGAGAAGGAAAGAAAGGACGACGGCGTCTCGGGGGGGCGCGGCCGGCACAGAGGAGGCAGATGCAAGCTGAGTAACCCCCGCCAAGGAGAAGACAGTCCAAAGTCCCACGAGAGAGGAATTGCCCTTCACTGCGTATCGGGCGTACTCCCTGTATAACGACTATGCCAGCGCGTCGCCTGAAGACGATTACATCGGAGGTGGATGCTCGATTCCCTGCTCGTTGTGCCGAGGCGACCACGTACACCTCCCTCGGCGGACGCTGCACGGGCGGTGTGAGGAGGCGCGCATGCACGCAGCGCGACTCTCTGCCGACACCGGAGAGGGCAGCGCAAAAGTGGGACAAAGCAAGAAATGCAGAAAAAAGAGAATGCAGTCGAAAGATACGAGCGCAGGAGCGAGTAGTGGAGCGGAGGCAGGAGGCAGGAGGCAGATGCGCACGCGAGTGAATGATGATGTGGTGGTGAGAATAGATGAAGCGGGGCGGCAGTAAGATATGAAGTGAAAATAAAATAAAAAAGAGGAAAGAAAGGAATGAGCCACCCAAGGGCACAGCGGTTCCGGGTATCCTCCTCCTCCTCCTATAGGTCGGCGCTCTTGTGCTTCCTACGACGTTTAAGGACTCCTTTGTCGGTGCGGACGCGGAGAGGCGACGCGAAGTGTGCAGGAAATGCGGGACGTCGAGGCGACCGGGACACGGCGTGAGCGCTGCGCCGGGCTGGCTGGCGCTTTAATTACCGATGATGCAGGCGATACGGACAGCGGGAGGAATTGAGGAGAGCAGGGACAGGGACGCAGGCAGAAACACGGGCGCGCGCTGGCCGTGGGTATCCTGGTTCCCGGGCGGGCGTAGTCATCATTGTACTCGGGCTGAGCGCGCAGCATGCGTCGTTGGCCACGCTATGCTGGATGGGGCGGATGTGAGCGAACAGTTAGTAGGCAAGAGTTAGGTTAGGGTTGTGTAAGCGTGTGTACAAGTTTCGGATCGAATTCCCGAATCGGCGTGTCGGCTTTCTCTGAACCGCACCTCAAAAGTTCAAACAACAAGCTTCAGTACTAGTAGCTCCTTCTTCCTCAAGTCTCACCCCTCCTCGAGTACGACAACACTGGGACAATGGTGGTCCTATAATCACCTAAATGCCTACAACTCAGACTCTGCGACGGTCATTGATCCAGGAATGTTGCTACAATCTCGCGGACCCACGACTGAGCGGTCGTTGCTGCAGTCTCAACCTACTCCTTGGAGTCCTGGGATCATTGGTTTTGAGCACGCCCTCGTACTCAAATCCTCGGGTGCACCGGCACCATTTGTCTCTGTCGCGGCTCCGCCTCCCGGAATAATCGAGAATCTGGACATGTGCTTCCTGCTCAAAGCACGCACTCAGCGTTTTCCTGATCCTTTCTCTTTTCCGTAGCACCACTTGTTTGCGAAGTCTGATCCGGTCGTGCAAATGGATATGAATTGGTATGACATTCATGATGAGCAAGTGATACGCCATAGACTCTCGTGCAATTCACCTCGAACCCTAGTACTCATCTCATCAACCACATCCGCGGCGATCCAAATCCCAAGTCGCGCAGCAGTGCTTCCCTGCTCCACTAATTTTCCGGGTTGGCTTTCCCTTCACTTGTATCCTGCTTAGACAGTGTTCCAACTCC